GCGAGAGATCGACCTCTGGCGGGCTCGAGAGACGAGAGATGTCTTGACAGACAAGACGCGGGTGAGATGGAGAGACTTCTTCTTTCTGCTGGCGCTTGTTTTCGCGTTTTCCTCGGGCTCGTGCATTGTTAACTGGTAGCGCCGAGGAACGCCGCATGCACTTGACAGAGATTTACTATCAGGCAAACGAGAAAGAGAAATAACACACAGGCAGAGAGCCGATCTCCTCCATTGTCGTAGAGATATTCAGCTGCTTGTTTTATCGAATAGAAAATAAAACCTCTATGTATCTCCTCGTTCGCGTTCCGTGATACTTTGTTGCGCACGAAACGTCTCATAAAACGTGGATTAAAAGAACACTTCAATACGCGGAACAAATATACAATCGATATATAATCCGAGCGAACTTGGAAGGAACTTTAGAAGCACATGTGTTTTACAGAATCGTGAAAATTTCACAGAAAGAAAATGCAAATGAAACACTTTATCGTATACATATATATTGTTTCTCGAAACGTGCTTTTGCCTAGAATACATTAAATTTCTCTTTGTCCGCGTCGGGTCTCTATTCAATTGTAGGTAGACGATGCTTCGGCCGTACTTCGGCGTTGATCGGTGCCGCCACGTAGTCGGCAAGTCGCGTGCTAAAAGGACCGCCGGTATATAGGGTCTAATCTGCATTTTAAACGAGCCGTACGGCCGCGCGCGAAGAGAGAGAATCCGCCTGGTGCACGCCTGTGTTCACGGCGCGTTACCGGTCAGAAAGGCCCCGTCTCGCGTTCTATGCGCCCGCCGCCCGTGTCCGAGATTCCGTGAGGGAGAAAGAGAGACGCAACGTCCACAAACTGCGGTAGATTGCATCTCTGCGGGATCCAACCTCCGGTCCGAAATATTCCCGTGCAAAGCGTGAATGATAACGCGCGTGATAATTAACACGTTACGTTACACCGGAGCGTGTTGTAGCGCGCTGGATCGAATCGCAGAAGCTTTATTCATATATTCGCGATCTTATTTATCGCCCTCTGTTAAATTAAGATTTAATTTTATTTGCGCGCCCGTCACACGGCTCTCCGACGTCTTTCGCACAAGTCGTCCGTATTATAAATTTTCTTTATCCAATTAGCCGCGCGGTCATCAACTCGCTTGCAAAAAATACGTGAAAAAAAAGTCGCGCAGAATTCACGCGAATCGCAATTTGCAGCGCGTCAGTAACACTCGCCAGTGAGTCCACGCTCTCTCTTTTTACAGTCATATCGCGCTGTTATATTTTTCGCACGTATCGCGGACATTCAGCGGTTGAGACTTTATTTCCCGATTCGACGGAAGCGCGCGGCGTGAGGAACATCCTCACGATTGCGGATGTCATGCCGATTAATTTGATCGCGTGTGTGCCACAGGCGGTCAGCTCGTGCACAGTTTTTAGCCGGTTTCCGGCTAGAACAAGTCCCCGCGAATCGCTTCTCTCTTTCGTTCTCCTTCGCTCAATCTCCGTCCCTCTGCCCTCTCCTCTGTCTCCCGCTTCAGCTTCCTTACGGCCGAGAGCCGAGATCGCAATCAGTCTTGGCGGACTTTCATCAGATCGGACCGCGAGATGTGCCCGCTTCTCGCGCGCACTTCCGCGCGTGTTGGTTCGTATATAAGACGACACGATGCGTCCAACCGCGGCGTATACGTGGTGCGCCCGGCGATTAATGAGCTCTCGTCAGTCGCGTGCACGCGTCTGTCACTCTGACAGCATCCGGTACGGCAGTCCGTGATCTCTCTCCTTCCCCCCTTCTTCCTTACCTTTCTCCGCCTCCGTTTAATCGTCTATTACGGATTCTTTTCTTCGATCGCGGATATCGTTCCGTGTATTCGCGCGGCGCGCTGCCGCTCTCGCCGTGCGACCGCATTAGCCGGCTAATTCATTTAAACAGCGTCGTTCGCGTAACACGACACTATACAGAGGATTAGACTCGGAAACTTGTCGCGCGCTCTCTGTTTATTTTCCTGGAATAAATAAAATAACCGAAACCTCTCGAGAATCGAATTAATTTATTGCATATATAAATAATCTGCATTTTCTCAGATTTGTTCTTTTTGTGTAAAATTAGAAAGTGCCGTGTATCGTATCTCTTCTTTGCATCTCCTTAATGCTCACTGACAGTGAGAAAAGCGATTCCAATTTGTTGAAATGTCTCTTAGCGCACCTTTCCAGGCTTAATCGTGACTAATACCAACGCGCTCGATCGCGCGTAACGGAGCGCGCGCGATCGGGCGTCGCGCGCGAAAAATCATCCGATAAAGTTGAAAATTATTACGCGCGGCGATGTGTGGCGGCACGAGGGCGACTCACGATAAGCGCTCGCTTCTCTCACGCGCCGCGGCGGAGTTCTCTGAGAAACGAGCGGGTGATCGAGAGCGATGAAATTTAACGTGTATCTATCGCCGTTCGCACTTAGCGAGGCCTAATGCGAATTCCGCAACGATAAGCTCTGATTTATTTACGCCAATCGACTGAAAATCGCGCGTGCGATTTCCGCGTGCAGACAAGCCGCGCGGAAGCAGCGCGTACGTGTGTATAATACACACATCGGTAAATCACGCAGTGAAAGCCGCCTGGTTTCGGCGGCTAGATACATCTCTCTGGCGCGCGCGCGCGCGGCGTTTACACCGCTAATGAGACGCCCGCTTGACAGCCAAGAGGGTCTTTCTGGTTCCTTATCGCGCGCATCATAAACGTCCGTCCACAGCCGGACCCGCCGGCCTTCTGCGTTCTCTCTCTTTCTCTCGTTGTTTGCTACTGATCGGTTCGGACAGTTGACAATGTGACGCTCGATGAAGTTTCGCGATATTTCGCTTTCCCCTCGTTGCTCGATTTTTTTGTTTCTTTTTTTTTTATCGCCGCGCTATCTCTTCTAACTTAAATCTATTTTATGGCCATTTACCGGGACATTCTCCGTTACAATGTACGTGTGTGTGTGTGGCGATTCTGTGCGTCTACGATACTGTCGGCGACGAGAACCAAGTTCGCGTTTAAATGTCTGTTTCGTAAACTGTCGCGTGACGTCTTTGAATATATACCAAGGGATCGTGATGAAAGTTTATTTCACACAATCTGTCAGAGAGACCGCGGTTCGATTTATATTATAACTCCAACATCGTTATTTGTTGCACGTACGTCTTCGTCGGGGAACTTTTGTGGTCGCCTATAAACCATAATAAATCCACTTGCACGTGCCCGTTCTCATCGCGAGCCGGGGATACCTGGTATCTAGGCCAGTTCCTGCTATGCCCCGCGTTCTCTCATCGCAGTTCGATGAACACGCGACGAGTCGCCGACACGTGGCACGCGACACATGCCGCGTACATGTCCGCTTTAATGAAGCAGCGGGATTGGCCAGATATAAGAAGTTCCCGGAGTGTCACCTACTTGACGTAACTTCGTATTACAGTCGCTTTCTATCTGTTCTGCCAATTCTACTTGCTTGATGCAGCCTACAAGTTTACTCGTGATTTATATATCATGTAACACACTTCTGAGTAGCTTCAAGATGCTTTTTTTGTGAAAAGCGAATTAACCTCGCGATGTCTATGCAAACGCGAATTATTTAAAATACATAAAAAACCAAATGTTATATAAAAAATATTGTAGAAAAATATCAACGCGCGCATTCGCGGAACGAAAAACGAAATAATATATCTTGTCATCAGGTTTTCAAGACTGATCTCGAGTGTGTTGCCATTTTCTCTTCACCGTGTGAATTAATTAGTTCTCGAGTCGATAATAAATTTTCCTCCGAATGGTCTTTTAATCGGCCGACTTTATTTGGCGAAATTTTGTTCCGCGCCGTGGAATGCAGTCACCTCTCGGCCTCAATAACGAAAATTGCGGAACAAGTTCATTAAACGAGTCCATTCTATTCGCCACGCGCTTTTAATTACAAGTACGAGATATGCCGCGCATTTGCCCGCCGCCCTTTATTTGCGCTATCCTACCGTCTAATTGCCTGCACGACGAGCCACGTAGTCGCGGACGACGTATGTGGGCGTTATTGCAAGGTGCACTCGGGAGAGAAAGACTCTCGCACCTTCGGCAGCCTCTTCTCCTTCGAAGATGAGGAGATACAAGCCGTGAGGCCGGATATTAAATTAAACGTTACGGCGTGTCGAAATGGCTTAGGAATAATGGGAATCGCGATGGCGCTGCCGATATTGCTTGTTCGGATACCGAATTGATTACGTTATTTGCGAACCTTACGTAACTGCCTCTACACCGTTTTCAAAGGCTCAAGATCACATTTCAGTTTCTTGTTTTTATGCACGTGTATATAAATAGGTGAATTCAATTGTCGTACAATTCTTTCGTTTTTTTATGTAGTTATATAAAATAGTAAATCGATAGTTTTGATAAAAAAATAACATAAATGTTATTTAATAAGTGAAGACACTTATTTATCTTCTCGAAATGACGATTTAACCGAGCAACCATACAACATCAGGTATTTGCCCCAGCACCTTGTGTAACATCCTAGAAAAGTACTTCGAGATGCAATCTCCGACATTAACACATTCCGCGCGGGAATAGTCCGCACCCTCTTTCATCGTGCGCGAAATGCTTTGACTCCGATTAAATTCCACCCGCATTCCTGCTCATCAACGCGTGCTCTTCAGCGGGGGAAAGGCAGAAAAGACAGTCACCGGCTGACTGCACGTCCCCTCAATTTCGGGTGTATACCACTCACAGCGTTAATTATTCTGCAATCAACGCGATTAACGTACGCTCCCTTATGTATCGTAATCTTCTCATCTCTTTCGTGTGTAATTGATTTGCAAGAATTACAATTAGCCTAAGTCGCTTTACACAGCTTTCGATTGATCTTTAATTTGATCTTTCGCAGTCTCTTATTTAATGTTTTCTTTCTCATCTGCATGCCGGCGACATAATGTAACGAATAAACTAAAAACGTTCATCTTACTCGACAGCTCTTTAAGAAAAAAAACAATTTGTCTAATTGCAGGGGAACGAAGCGGTGGTGCCGGAGGGCTGGCCTCTGACGTTAGGCGGCAACGGTCTGATTTTACAGCTGGGCGAGCTCGAGGCGTCCGCGCTACGTCTCGGGGAATGTTACCTCTGCGTACGCAGCGCGGCTGCTGCAACTGCAACCACCTCGTCGGTCAGCGGTGCCACGACTGCCGGTGAAGCCGCCGTCGAGCAGAATACCGTTGAGGTGAGTCACGTCCTTTTCTCATCGTTCTTTCTCTCCTTCGTCGTCAAAATCGTCGTCGGATGACGTTCTCCCGATACCGCCGCGAGAGAAAGAGAACGACACCTTCGTCTCTTCGCAGATCCATCGCGTCGAGGACTCGGCCGGAATTCCCGGCGTACCTTCCGAGTGATCGTGCGTTTCTGAATCCTCGCGGCGTGAATATTAACAGTCATCGCGAATGTAAAGGAACACAGTGTTAGACGCGTGTTTCACTCGGGGTAATAAGAGACGAGGTATATGTCTTTGAAAATGTCGAGGTGACGTCGTCACGTTTGTAACCCTTTCTTATTGTACACGAAAAAATAATAATATACAAATGAGGAGATTGATGACAGACGGCGTCACGTGACTCCGCGCGCGTAAGTAAACACAGTTAAGATCGAGAGAATCGCGCGTTTGCTGTTCGCAGATAGCACTAGTCTGGCGAACCACGTCGATGAGGGCGCCGGGTATCCTGGGCTGGGACCGTGAGGACGAGTTCATGGACTGGCGGGACCTGACGAACAAAGGTCAGACGAGTTCGACGGGTGCGAGTCTCGGCGGGGCGCAAACCTCAGGTGTAATGAAGATCATCGGTCGGCCGCGACGAAGATCGCGCGAAGATGCGCGATCGCGGGTACGCGAGACCAATCGTACCAGCAGCGCCGAACACCGCCGGGAAGAGGCCAGATCGATCGACAGGCTGGAGCATCAGAGCTGTCGCGAGAATCGCGCGATCGATCAGCCCGGACACACCGCCACGGTAATGAAGTCCAGATCCGCGTCCAGCGTCGACGCCTGGAAGGAAGACCTCGACGGCGGCGTCCACGATCGCGCTCGAGGCTCGGGTCGCAGATCACGTTCCAAGAACTCGTCTAGTCCGAGCTGCGACGATAGCCGCGCCAGAGTAAAGCGTTGCGCCAAAGTGGTCTCCACCCCGACAATGGAGAAGTGGAAGGAGAGCAGCAGGTGTGAGACTCGCGGCAAGGCGGTTGCGCCTGCAGATCTGAAGAGCCCGCTGCACTTCGAGGAAAGCGTTTTGCGACAGGCTGACACCGCCGGCGAATCGCTGAAGGATCTTGACGACAGGCTGCGTAACGTAGGTGGCCTGGAGGACGTTAGCGACGAGGATCTGCCGGCGTACATAGGCAATCTGCTTGTCACCGTCGAGAGAAAAATCGAGCGTGTCTCTCTCGACGACATGACGTTTCCCTGTCCGGCGTGTAGAAACATAGACACGGACGATCCGTTGTTGGGATGCAGATGTTCCAGTGAGTTCGGTTGCAACGCCAGCGAGGATAAATGCGACTGTCCTTCCTCCGGATCCGCCTCGCGGAAAGAGCAGTCCGCAAAGAGCTTCGAAGTCGCAGGGATCAAACACATCGACAGCGACGACGAGGAGGAAGTGCGGATGGGATTTGGTGAGTCATTTTCAACGATATCGAGTTTTACACAAAAACACACTTGTATCAACACACAGCTTTATTGTTTACATACGTATAAACTAAGAAAGTTTTTTTTTAACCTCTTGAGAACGAACGTCGAATATAGTTGACGCCGAATGTATTTGTACGATCAAGCGTCGACTTTAGTCGACAATCGCCGAAAGCATTCGATTGTTTACGTTATTTAGGGCTGTTTCGATTCCCCACCTAAGTGCATTTAAGTGTCATTTTATTCTTGTTTCATATCTAGTAAATGATAAAGTATACCCGGGTGAGAAGTCGGAACATAGCCTAGTCTGGACACTTCGTTGTAAGTAGTTTTAGTATCAACTCTTGTGTCTGTCAATTTCTCAATTTAATACGTTTGCTCGCGGTTAGTCAAGTGATGTTACGCGGCGGACGAAGAGATTAAGAAAAAGTTTCTTTTTTACGCGTCAAAGATATCTATTCATTCTATTCTATTCATGTGGTTTTTAAAAGAGCGACGTGCATAACAAAATTGGTCTCTTTCTCGCGACGATGATGTGAAAACGCTTTCTACAAATAATCTTTATTCAACAAGTCGCACGTATGGAACAGTGGTGTAAAGATTCTCTAGTTAGTAGTCGCTAAAGAAAATGAATTCACAAGACCGGAGATTGCGACTACGACGTGCTGCGAATTTTGCTTCCGGAACGATCGTCAGTCGGCGGGGGTACACGGTCGATAAAAGAAAAAAAACAGAAAAAAGCTCGCGAATGACTTCTACCAGGCGTGTGCACGCACTCGACGAGCGCTTTTATGGCGGCCGTGTGTATGCGTGCGCGCGGGATGATTTACCGGCAACTAAAGTTGCGCGGCGCGCCGAACTTGAAATTCTGGTCGAAGTGCGGCGTGGGCGAACGTACCTTGTAAAGTGGCTACTTCATGTCACGCCGGTTGTTGAAAAATCCGAACGCGCTACTTGTGCGTCCGAATCGGTACTTGCGGTTCGTCCGCACCGGCGTGAAACGTACGACGTCTTCTCCACGCCGACGCTTCTTCGCCGCCGATACGTGTGAATAGAAGCGCGCTGGTGCTCGTGACGCCGTTTCTCGATGTGCACGTGTTTGCCGCTACGTGTGAATGCGCGCCTTACGGCCCCCTAAGCCGCGACGAAGTTTATGACGGAAGAGAGTGCTTCCTACTAAACAAAGTACTGAAAAGCCGCGACATGTGTTTAACAGAGGCCTCCGTCGTAATCCGCGACTTATTCCGTAATAATTTACGGAATACACGCGCGACTCGGAATACAAACATAATTGGGTTTTCAAAAAAAACGAATATTAGAAAGTTTACTTAAAAACATTTTTTCAACAGCGAGCGTAATGTATGTTTAAAAAAAAAGTTGCGCTGTTCTCAAATTTATTCGAACTGAAATAATCACAAAAAATGTCGAGATGCTTTTGAGTTTGTTTTTTCGTGTGTATTTTTATCATGAAGAAAAATTATTTGTTGTCCGTAATACTCGTTATACTTTGTTGCGAAACCGCGTCTCACGGACGATTACAAACCATGAAGGATGCAGCTGCGCTCGCGACAGGTCGGGGGAATATTTCGTCGCGCATCTCTCTCTCTCTCTCTCTCTCTCTTTCTGCAAATTGTCAAGTCATGTGTCACAATCCCGGTTTAATCCGTCTCCCGGAGGGCATCGTTAACGAGCGATGACTCTCGCGCCGTACGACGCGGGCGTAATTGTAACGGACGAGTATGCAAATTGTCGGCGTGTTCACTTGTCACTCGATCTTTCGTCGTGCACAGCTCGACCAAACGAATCACTCGCAGATACGGGGCCCCGACTTGGACCGGACTTTAAAGTCTCTTGCGGCTCTTCCCGATCTCCTTTCGCGTCCTCCCACGCTCGTTCACGACGCGTTGCCTCTTTGGCAACCGCCGCCGCCGCCGCCGCCCTGACAGGTTTGCAAAGTCAAGAGCCTTTATCCGAAACGTCGCCACATCGTCGGCGGCGTCGACATAAAAGTGACTTACGGCGTTCGTTCGTTCCGTTGCGTGACTTTTTACGCAGCGTCGTATAATTTGTGTCATTCCACGGGCAAATTTTTTCTTATCTCTTTTCTTTCTCTTCAATGCTCTTCATTCATCGACTTATCTCTCCTCGTTTGTCGTATGCAAACATGTAATTTTGGGGAGAGACGCTCACGGGAAACAGAACGCGTCTTCGTACCCGGTTTACATTGATATTTGTTTTGTGGTTTGGGTTGTTTAATGAATAAACGATTTAAAAGCATTTTATGGAATTTACAGTAATCGTTTTTGAAGACACCGCAGTACATCAAACGCGCGCCTATTAGTTAATTTTATTTTATTCGTAATATAAAAGAACACAATGCGTATAGAAAACACATAAAATGTTTCTTAAAAAAATATTATCACGGAAAAAATACAAAACCATTAATTTGGCACGTACAACTGGCTATCCGGAAATTGTTACAGCGCCGCGTACATTGTAAAATACTGGCTATTACATCGCCGTCGAAGGAAGCGGGCTCGGCGCAAAATGCGCCGCGCGTCATACGTGCGCGCATAATCGTCGTAACAATTATTTTTTTTAGTTCGCGGCTTCCTAAGTCCTAGGATCGGCGGACCGCAGATACCGCGAACCGTTGTGAGGCATTTACGAGCGACTCGCGCGCGTCCGTTGGCGGCTCGCAATTGGCAGAGACTCTCAGTGTATGTACACGAACGTTCCGTGATTTTTCTTGCGGTGGCGGCGGCGGTGGCGGCGGCGGCGGCGAGCGTATCGACGCGATGTTTGCGGAGCGAGAGAGGCGAGCGACCTAGCCTCGACAGTGAATGAACGGAGTAACGAACTCGTCAATGAGCATTCGTGCTAATGAGATACGGCAACGAACCGACGATATTTCTGCAACGTCGACGGGCAAACAGAAGAGGGAAGCGTCGAGGAGAGAAAAGTGTAGGCTGCGTATTGTCTGAATTTCGCGTTCGCAGAAAATAACAAAAGTCTCTCTTCGCGGCTTTTGACCGTTTAAGCGAGATTTAAGTGAGGAGTAATATTGACATCAATTACTAAATTGTATTTTGTATGATGCAAAACATTTTTTGTATATATATGTATATTTATATATTTATATTGAAGTTACATAAGGACGTGCGTTTGGCGCTCTAAAGCTCTAACAGCGGCGTGATTTATTTCTCGCATAAAAGATTGTCGAACAAGACGCCCAGCTCTGAAAGTCAAAGTTCGAGACGCGCGCGAGAAACAGAAACAAGAAATACAAACGCGCGCGTTAACGATCAGCTGATATCGACACGTAATGCCGTTTTTTGCGTCGGGTTATTACACCGCGCGCAGAGGGTCGGGAAGAGAAACTATCGAGGACGCAACTTAATTCGCCCACTTTATTGTTTCTCGCGCGTACGTTGCCGCGGAATTTTACTGCTCGGTGTCGTCGGAGGCACGTGAAAGCTAGTAAATTTTACGGGGCTCGCTATCGAGACGCACTTATCGAACGGCCGACGATTCCCACGCCTCTTTTCCCCGCGAAGAATGTCGGAGTCCGCGCGAGAGCCCACTTCAAAGACCTCCTTCGTTGTCCACTACGAGCGCTCTCCGCTCGCTCAGATAAAAGATTGTTTTCCTCTCACGGAACAATCGTATAAAGAAAATAACTTATTTTCTTTACTCTTGTATAAAAACCTTACATCGTTGGGAATTAGTGACGATGTTTAATTATTTTTATTAGACGCACTAATAATTTTATTTGCAACGTATAAATATTTTCTCTACCATGTGTGTTGTCAGATTTTTATCCGTGATTTTCCTACTTCGTTCGCGACTAAGGACGCGATCTTTCGCATAGTTCTCGGAGAGAACAGTTAGCGAAGCGTGACGTATCGCCGCGAACTTCTACATCGCCACCGCGAGATTTCGCGATCGGATTGAAGCGTTTCGAGGTACACGAGCGAGTCGTGTAACGCCGTGCTGCGCGCGCGGGTTGATTGAACGTTTGCCGGGCTCATGGACCGGCTATACTTAGTAGCTCATTGATCGTCCCCACGGCGGCCCTCAATCATATCTACTTAAGCGGCGAATCAAGCGGCTTCCACAATGGAGGCTGTTCACCTCTCTCGGGTTCGCGACGCCGCTCGTATCGCGTCTAGCTCCGGGATGTGAGCGAGGGAGATCTCGCGTCTCGTTTCTCGCCCAACAGCGTCTCGCCGATTACACTCATTGCTCGCGAATTCCGCGGGATCGTTTGTTTGCGCGAGCTAACAGGAAGATTGCCAGCTCGTTTGTGCCGGGACGCAGCCGACCTATCGAGGGTGTTCTCTCTATCGATTTTTCCGTTCTTACGCAATTCAATTACGAGCGGGAACAATTGGATTAATTCGAAAGCTTATTGCGCTTGTCGACGATTGAGTTAGATGAGCTTCTCCCTCGCATGTCGTTTGTTCATTGTCGTTTCGTTGCTTTCGAAGACACTGATGTAATATACTTGCGATTAAATTATCGTCGTGCGCTCGACATTTCAGTGTCTTCGTTCGTGATCAATGAGAACGTTCGGGGCAATAAACTCAAATTAAGAAATGTATAATATTTATGAGATTAGATTAACGCGTCAATTGGCGTAAGCAGTCGCCTACGTAATCAATAGAAACATTCGGCAATTTCTCTCAAGCAATAAATATATTTTTATCACATATTATTAAAAAGATAAAAGATAACAGAGGAAAGACAGATTAGTATGTAATTTTCTTCAATTATTCTTTTTATAATGTTATGCATTTAATTATCAACGATCGTCTGCTTTCACGAAATTCTCTTCGTGTTATTATCATCAATTGTCAAAACGCATATTACGTCGGATTGTTAGGTGGACGTTGTCGCCGTTAATCATAATAAAGATAGCGATCAAATCGCCGTCACGACATCGCAAAATCTGGTAGCACGGTGGCCGCCGGTGGATCTTTTGATC